TATATATATATATATATATATATATATGTTCTATACATATATTCAAAATTTTCAAATCAAAATATTTAATTAATACCTTAAATATTTCTGGATACTGTATTAGGCCCATAAGACTTAAATATCCTCCGTAAGACCAGCCGTGAATTGCCACACGATTTAAATCAATATAACCAGTAGTTTCCGCTAACCATTTTAGTACTTCCACTTGATCATTTAATTCGACAGTTCCCATTCTATGTTGTAAATGACTTTCAAATATTAAACCTCTGTGATGTGAACCACGAGAATCAATTAATACTACACAATAGCCTTGAGCAGCCAACATGTGCATTCTTAAATGCCTCATTCCCTGAAATGCACGCAATTGTTAAACGAGTAAAATTTAACTCGTCATGTTATACTTATATTTTTAAAATACTTACTTTGAATGTATTCGATACTAATTGTACTTCAGGACCACCGTATACGTTCAATATCGTGGGATATTTTACACCATTTTGAAAGTTATGTGGTTTAAAGATCATTGAGTAAAGAGTATCATTGGATGATATTTTATGTGTATAAATTTCCGGAGCAAATAATTCGGATTCGAGGGCGGATGGTTCTAATAAATAACCTACAGGCGTTAAAGAAATGCTTTCTACCGTCCAATCTGATTGTGATATTTTAAATACCTAAAAATAAATTGGCCGTCACAAATATTTGTCAAATGTTTATTCTCATAAAAGAATCGTACTTGACAAGTTGGTAACGTCTTGATGGAACTATAAACAGTCACTAGCATCGTGCATTCCTTGTTAAAATATATACTGTTGTGGCTGTAGCCTGGCCTGGTAAGTAATCTTACTTCCAACGGACGACGAAGAGATACAGCATAAACGTGCTGCTCTAGTGGACCTTCACGTAAACCGCAAAAATAAACAATAGAGTTGAGTTCATCTACCCATAATTTTTTACCCAGAACTTCCCAATCTCCTTGAGTCAAAGCAACTTTCGAAGTAACTCGAGGTTGCAAAAAAATACTATCCATTTTATCCAATGGTTCTTCCACTTCGTTATTTAAACCTACGTGAGAAACGCATAGAAGAAAAAATTATTATTTTGTAGTATGTAATTAATCATCTTTAAAATCATTTGCTATTTTACCTGCTATGCTAGACGTAATAAGATACAGATGTCTAAAGTCAGATTCTTCGCTGCCCCAAATAAATTTTACTTCCGTTGGATCATCGGATGGTAAAAAATAAAGAAGGTCATTAACATTGATCCAGATTGAACTTTGTTCGGAATATATTACTTGAACACTCGCCGATGATGGTGTAAAGTGATTTTCTGAGTTATATACATTAGGTGGTGGTTCACAAAAATTATCTATCGATAATAGAACTAATTCCAGCCTCTGTTGCTTTCTGTCCAACAACTGTACCCAAACGCTATATTCGTGCAATATTCGAAAAGCTATATTATAGAAGTGAACAACGAAATACACGTGGTAAATTCAAAACGTTTCTGACTTACTATTGCGCATCGGAAGTCCAGCCTACCCTTACCATGTATTCCATCCATGGAAACATAATATGCAACGGATATTGAAGTTCTAATATTTCAATATCAACAATTTGTAATGTTTCTGTTAATCGAAATTGTACTATCTTAAGATTGCTTCTCGCATTAGGAGTACCAGCTCTAGGAAATCTGAATTCATCGATATCTTCGGTATTTGATGTTGATGGGAAACAAAATATTTTTACATCGCTCTCGTCAATTTCTTCGTATACTATTCTATAGATACCGTCATTAGAATTCGGCTGCCACCAATAACCGGTATATCTAAAAAGTATCATAGTATAAAAAAATGTCAGCATGAATGTATAAATATGTTAATATACCACAAACCTAGTAAATTCCTCTTGCATTACATAAGAAGGAGTTCCTGCCGTAAGAGGATCATTTGTTAAATTTTTGGCGCCTTTTCTTGCATGAGTTAACCTTACAGAAGAACCTGTGATACTATGAGACAGGTACAGATCGCCCGAGCACGTATGAGCAATTAACGCATTATTCCATGGACAAATTTGTGGACATAATTTTGCACCTGGTGTTGACATACGAATTTCAGATGGAAAAAGAGGCCCAGCCTAATGTATAAATATGTTTACTGTCTTATTATCCTGATTGTATGCGAGATGAGAAATTCTAAAAAGAAATACCATGAATCCTGTGTCTATGCATTGATAAAGGCTGCTTGCAGCTGGAAAAACTAATTTTCCACTATCTAAGTGAATCTCATAGCTAGTGATACCCCACGTAGCTAATCGTTTCCTTTCCCATAATAACTGTTCTTCCCTTGATAGCCTTTTGGTACTTGAAACACTGTAAACAAAATCTCATGTAATCATGGGAACAAAACAGAGAGTCGAAGAGAGAAAAGGCACAACTTGTTTCCTTTTAGTGAAAGAGGTTACATTACGTTTGAAAATTTGCTTCTATGATGGGTTGCCAATGAAGGCGATAGCCATTCGCATGATCCGAATGTGCAATATCCACAAATAGTAACGTAGTTTCCCATCCATTGCTCGGACTACTAAGAAAATATATTCTGGTCCTACAAAGAAACATACGTATAATTTAGAAAACATATACTCTAAAAAAATTTCAATAGTGTGGGGGTTATGTTACTACTTTAGAAGAATTTCTTACCGTCCATCTGGTAACGAACGAAACGTTATAGATCCAGGCACAGAGCCTACAGACACACCGGACAATTTTCTACGTAAATCACTGACAACACCTCTCAATTCCGACCAACTTCTTTGCGATATCGCAGTGTCAGTTAAGGTCCGGTCGCCTCCTTCGTTGCAAGTCTCCATATTTTCTCGTTCTTACCTCCGTTTCTGATAAGTCATTCATCAAGAAGACAACTCGCTGAGAAGATCATGTCAAAGAAATGTTTAAAAGCAATGCTGCATTGTTGTAAATTCCGAGAAATCTGCGACAGCCGCGCATGCAACCTATTCTTAGGTTATGTTCGTGGACGGTTCTCACTTTCACCTTCTCCCCAAACACGGGCCTCTCCCTTCTCTCGGCTAGACCCACGACATTAATTTTGCGAAATTCTCGGCACGAGTTTCGATCTGTTTTCGGTAAAACAGCTGCCAAGAATTTTCACACATCCGGCTGCAGGTAAATGACCAGCGTGACAGTTCTGTCTATTGGCAATCGTCGCAAGTAAATATTCATCAGCACGGAATAACGACACGTGAAGCCAGATACACTGTGCTATGAACGCGGCGAAGATAAAGAATCCTTTCTTTTTATTCTCTTTCTTCCGACGATCCTGTGCTCATTTCACCCTGGGGGAAAAATAGCGGTAAAAATAACTAAACAAAGACGGGGTCCGCCTTTTCATTTTTTTTTCTAATCGCTTTGTTCCCCTCATTAATTTGCTTTGCCTTCGAAAAATATTCCCCTTTTCTTGCTCTTAATCACGATTGACATGTACAAACGCGTGAATTCTTCGCGTCAGTGGTTCTCAATGGTAACCGCTCAAGCTGCTTTCTCATCGTAAACTTAAGATTAATTCACATTATCAAGGAAAAATAACGCGATATGAGATTGAACAATTTTGTTATACAAGTTTTCTCACTTCATGGAGTCATACACAGTCGCCAGAAACGTTAATTCAATAGTTTCGGTAAGAAAAAAAAAAAAAATATATTGTTACGACGCAGATTCACGGATTCTATGTTTGTTCAATTTCCGTTTTCCTTACGAACAATTCAATTTGATTAGTGTATGAAGGTTGGACCTCGACGTAGCCTTTCTGATCGAGTGATACGTCGATTAATTGATTGCGAAAATACGAGTGCTTGAATGATTTGATTATGTCGAGAAATTATGTCGAGAAATTTACTTACAAGAAGAACTGCGGCTGGTTGAAATAGTTGTCCCGAAAGAACTAAGAGAAGTGTTTCGATCGGGTGTTTATATACCTCGGAGGGTGCTTTGTGTGATGGTCGAAGCTCGTTGAAATTTGTAACAATCAGTTATATAAATGCAATGAATTACCAACGAACTTCTCTCATTTTTCGACCAGGTATGTCAGGTACACCCTTTGAGGGACCCTCGACCCTTAACCATAATGGTAACAAAACTTATGAAGGACGGTACTATTTATGACGGATGTTGTACATTGCTATTGTTTCTAACATGCCTTGTGTACCAAACTGTAACTGTTAATTGCCTTTCTTGGAAGACTTCATAAGATTGTTACCATTACACTTTAGAATTTCTTTGAATTCTGACAATAAACCATGGGTTTTTTATTGCCCGGGTACGAAGACCTTTCCCAAGTAACGGAACATCTTACACAGTACCTTAGTACTGTAACAACTATTAAGAATATTACCGCTGAAGAATATGCCATTGCTCTTGTAAAGTTTAATTCGTGTAAAACGCCAAGCAAAAGTAAGAAAAACATTTAATGCTATGTTTCTACGATTTGCTCCACCTCTTTTCGTTCCATGGGACTTAAATTACGGTTTTAGAGATCACGTACGTTCCGACATGAAATATTTAATGTTCGGCCTTTCTCGAGTCCCTCGTTTCTTTTTTTTCCCCCTTTCCTTTATTTTCTGTACCCGCCTGAATAATTCGATTTACATCGTGTCTCTCTTTGCACGACACGTCGCAAATGTTTAATCATGCTTGCCAAAGATGATTATTTAACGAACCTGTTGAATGGTTTGTTTGCCTTACCCTAGTAATAACTCAAGTTTCGAACGTGAAAAATCACTATGGAAAGTCATTCAAAAGGTAGAGTAACAAATGAAAAACAAACAATCCTTAACGACGCGTATTCGCGTAACGTCAAAACTATCGCAATCTTTCCTCATCGTCGAAATTTTCATACCAGGTTATTAACAATAATAATAATTGAAGCAATCTGTTGCCAGCCTCTTATCGGTAATTTCATTTAATATTGCTTGATTGCAGAAATGAAAGGATGATAGGTCGCTTGAGAGTACCTTTGTGTTTTTTAACACGTCAACGATACAGCGAGCCTGCTGTAAAATTTGATTTATATACTGCCGAAAAGCTGAGGAAGAATTGGTCGGTAAGGCTATTCGTTGTTTCATTACAAATGCGATTGTAACATTATGTTTAAAAAAAAAAAATAGAATCATACGACGAGCGTATCTACGAATCTATCATAGGGATATTTAAATTACTTGATTATAATAAATGTGGAATTGGAACTGACTGGTCCTAATACACATGTGACACGATATATATGATGTACATGCGTCATTTAATAATATCTGCGCAAAAATTAATGTATCCGTAACTTTTATTTGCCTTTGCCTTTATTTGTACTTTGTTTCTTTGATGAAGTGATTTATTATCAGGTAATACTTACACGAAGTGCTTACCGAATAATCGCTTGAAAAACAAGAAGAATACTTGACAAATCGAATACGTATTGATTATACAAGCTATCTTTTGGCAATGAGTGAGAGGTTTTGATAACAATTTGTTACTTGTATATACGAGTAGAGAAAGAATATAAAGTCGAGGTCTTATCGCGTGTGTGTTGCGTTTATTTTATTACATCTGTATGTTACCTCTATCCCCGAAAATATTTTTTGTTACGTCGGTATCACATTGGAAACTGATAAATATAGTCGTGTACTTGCTACTTTTTATTCGTTTCAATTCCGAAAAAGCCGCGGTATCCGGACTTCCATCGAGTTTCTCTTAGGTTTCTGTACATTCTATATGCAGACATATATCCTTAACATCCATTTCGTTTGTCGAAATAGCATTTCCTTCATTTTGCGCGCGCACACGAGATGTTTGGCTTACGAGCGAACTGCTAAAAGCTCGCGTAAATATCGAACGCGTCGATTCAGGTATTAAACGAGAGGTCGTTGAATAATAATCTAAA